AAATACAAAAAGAACAAAAACAAAAACAAAAACCAAGACGTAAGCAAGCAAGATTAGTTAATAAAGGGCAGAAAGCTAATGCTAAGATTAAGGAACAAGCCAGGCTTTTTGGGTTTTTTTGTTTGTTTTTTGAGACAGGGTCTTGTTATGTAGTTCAGACTGACAGACATTCCAGTCCCTCCCCTAGAAGCCTAAAAGGATGGAGAAGTCAAGAACACAAGCATCAGAAAATTCCAGGCCTGTCTGATTGCCAAACCAGGCATTTTGGCTTGTAATGTCAGGATTTGGGAGGCGGAGGCAGGAAGATGTCCAGGAGTTCAAGGCCAGCCTGGGTTACACAGCAAGTTCAAGGCCAGCCTGAACTACATAGCAAGACCCTGTCTCAAAATACTAAAAAGAAAAAAGAAAAAAAGGAATAGATTGAGAGTGTTCCAAAAATGCTTTTAGGCAAAACTTCTTTCCTTTGCTTTTTTTTTTTCTTTTTGAGACAGGGTCTTGATATGTAGTTCAGGCTGGCTTTAAACTCTCAGCAGTCCTCTTGGCTGAACCTCTGAGTGCTGGGATTATTATAGGTGTGTGCAACCATGCCTAGTGAGGCACAACATTTTATATTATTCCCTCCAAAGAAACTGGGCGAACGTGACTTGCATCCGTAAAATGAAATATTATCTTTCTGGGGGTGGGCTATCCTTTTTCATATAAACCAAGCCCAAGATGAAACAAATTCCAGATTCAAAAACGTACAAATTTCCAGCTCCAAAGGGTAGTGCGTGTCTCTCTTAAGGACTCACACTCTGAATGTGTACTTTTACATTTTTGCCTAATAAATCCCTTTATGCCCCTTACACATCCTGCAAATTCTTGTTCCGTGATAGAATATTGTAAACTGGCAACTTATTCCAGTTGAGGTAGGATAGGTTTAGGTTCTCCATCTCTGCTTTGGAAATCATGGACCCTGTCTGGTGACAAAGCCAAGGCCTTTGCTGTGGACTATATCCCCACCCTTTTTGTTTTATTTTCAGACAGGTTGTAGCTAAATTCCTTTTTTTTTTTTTTTTTTGGTAGCTGAATTCCTAAATTGCCCAGGGTCGACTCAAACTTGCAGCCTTTCTGTCTCAGCTTCCCAGAGTGCTGCAATTATAGGTATGCCACACCAACTGGCTCTCCTTTCCTAGGCAATTCTTTTCACTGGGCATGCGGCCTCTCTGCCTGCTGTCTGCCAGTCTCCCCCTCAAAGTCCCACCCCACTTGAAGCGCTCCTCTAATCCCACATAAATCCCTGGCCTGTGCTTCCATCTCTTTCTTCTGGAATACAGCTCTCTTGCTAGCTGCAGTCATTCTGCCTCATTATCTATACTGTATAGAGCCAACTTCCCAAGCCCTGGAAGGGCAGATGTGTCATCCCAGCCCAGTTCCTTTGGGCTGCTTTGGGAAGGGGTGAAATGTCCAGCTTATTTTACACTCTACTCTCCAAGATTTCTGTAGACTTGGTAGAACCTAGATTTGAATTCCAGCATTACTGAGTGTTGCCTTTGTTTCCTCATCTGTAAAACGGTAACAGGCTGCTGAGTTCAAGGGACGGTCAGAGGGAATGAGAGGGAGCATGATATGCTATGCAGAGGGGGTGGGGAAGGAGGAATGACTTAGAGGAATTTGGGAATGTCCCCTCTGACCTTGCACGTGGGTGATGGTCTTCTGGCCACGTGGGTGATGGTCTTCTGTAATCCCAGCACTAGGGAGGCTGATGCAGGAGGATCCTTGAAGTTCAAGACCAGCCTGGGCTACAAAATGAGCTCAAGGCCAGCCTGAAACTGCACAGCGAGACCCTGTCTCAAAAAGACAAAAATGTTGGAGACCAGCCTGGGCTACAAAGTGAGCTCAAGGCCAGCCTGAACTGCATAGTGAGACCCTATCTCAAAAAGACAAATAAATAAATAAATAAATAATGAAAGCCGGGCGTGGTGGTGCATGCCTGTAATCTCAGTACTCGGGAGGCTGAGGCAGGAGGATCATTGTAAATTCAAGACCAGTCTGGGCTACAAAGTGAGCTTAAGGCCAGCCTGAACTGCACAGTGAGACCCTGTCTCAAAAAGACAACAACAACCAAATAAATAAATAAATAAATAAAAAAGACAAAAAAGCCGGGTGTGGTGGCTCACGCCTGTAATCCCAGCACTTGGGAGGCTGAGGCAGGAGGAATGTTGTTTTGAGTTTGATACCAGCCTGGGCTACAAAGTGAGCTGAAGGTGAAGGCCAGCCTGAACTGCATAGCGAGACCCTGTCTCAAAAAGACAAAAAACAAACAAACAAACAAACAAAAGCCAAAAAAAAAAACCCGTAAGTTTTGTGGGCATGTTAATGTACCCCTACAGTCCCAGCAGCTGGGTGGGTGGGGGGAGGCTGAGGCAGGAGGATCCCAGTTTGAGCCCTACCTTGACAATTTAGTAAGACACTGTCTCAATATAAAATAGTAGCTGGGGGTGCACGCCTGTAACCCCAACACTCAGGAGGCAGAGGCAGAAGGAGTGCCTCACGTTTGAGGTCAGCATGGGCTATATAGCAAGTTCAAGGCCAGCCTGAACTACATAGTGAGACCCTGTCTCAAGTCCCCTCCCCCCCAAAGGGGTATGTGACTAGGATATAACTCAGTGTAGAGCTCCCAGGTTCAATTCCCAGAACCAAAACCCAAAAATACTGCTCGAGAGCCCAAAGTATGTCACTTTGGCACGTTGAGAACTTTATTTTTATTTTTTTTTTGTCTTTCTGAGACTGGGTCTCGATATGCAGTTCAGGCTGGTCTTGAACCCACTTTGTGGTCCAAGCTGGCCTTGAACTTGCAAAATCCTCCTGCCTCAGCCTCCCAAGTGCTGGGATTACAGGCGTGTGCCACCATGCCTGGCTAGTTGAGAACTTTAAACTGGGCATTGGAAGGAGACCAGAAGCAGGCTGATCTTTTCCTGGCATTCTTTTGTTCCCCCTTTGTGCCCCAAGGCAGGTCAGAGAAACTAGAACTCCTCTCCACTAAAGCTAGCCACAAAACTTTGACATACTACTTTAACCTTCTCTCCAGGTTTCTGTATAGGCACTGGCTAGGGAGAAATTCTCTGATTTACTGTACTTTGACTGATAGTCGTTCATAAGACCCTTGTTCTAAAAGGGGCCTGCCCTATGTCTGGTAGGAAGGAAAACCAAAGAGACCAAAAAGAATGTGAACAGACAGGCCTTGCTAGGTTTCCCTCTGTTACATTACATCATCTGCTTTTGTCCAATCACGTTTCTACATGGCTGTTCATTCTTCATGGAAACTAAGCATGAAATAGCTTTCCCTGCATCTTTGGATCTTCATTCCAGAAAGCTCCTGTGTCACATAAAACTTTGATTAAATGAATCTGTCACGTTTTCCTCTTGCTAACCTGTCTTTAGGAGCGTTGGCCATCACCTTATGTTGGCAAGGATAAGAGACCATAGACACCTTTCCACCTTTACCTGGCTGGACCAGTTCAAAACAAAGTTACAATTCTTGCCAAGAGGCAGACAAGCACCGTATTATTCGCTCCTGTGGTGAGAGCCACACTGTGAGTAGGGCTTCTAGCATCTAGAACTTTCCACCTTTTGACTTTTCAAATGAAAAGTGGCTATGTGGGTTTGCAGATATGTTAGGCCCCCCTCCCAAATCTAACTGTATTTTTGTGAGAGAAAAGCATTCTAGATCTCAGCTGTGAGACCCATATATAGTAACCACCTGGCGTCTTTAGGAGAGAAAATTAATTTGTGGTTCAGAGAAGTGTAGTGACTTGCTAAGGGTCTCTCAGAGAGCAAGGTCAGAGTGGGACTTCTAGGAGCAGCTTTCTTGAAGACAGAGCTCGGCATAGTGTTGATTGCCCAGCCAGTGGAGATGGTACCCCTGGCCACCTTGCAAGCCCTGCCGCGGGGGGCCTCTGCTGACACTTGTCTTGACTAGAGCTTTGAGGTGCAGTCTCCGTTCTGATCCCTCTGAAAATCTCTCAGAGAGGGCAGGGTTGTGCCTTGCAGGTGCCGGTTCAGGCTGTCTCTTTCTGGGCTCAGCACGCAGCCTGGCACATAGGACATGCCTTGGAAGTGATGATGTAACCAATGGGAAGAGATGGCTCGTCTTGCTTGTGTGTGTGTGTGTAGGGGGGGGGGAGAGAGAGATGGAGAGAGAGCGTGCATGAGCGGCATGTGGCTGCATGAGGGGTTTCTGTAAATCCCCAATGACCAAGTGTTTCCACCTTTGTAGGGCATGAACCCTTTTGGCAGCCCAGTGAAGCATGTGGACCCCTCCCTAGAGTACTTTTGGGTATAGTTTATTGAACAAACAACACACGGAATGGTGCACACATCTAATGAACATTTCCACAAAGCGCATGTACTTGCAGCACAAGAAATCAACCGCGACCAGCGCCCTCGGCTCCCAGGTCCTATCCAGGCTCCACCTCCCAAGGGGATCCTCCGCGCAATGCTTTCAGATGCAAATTCCCAGAGTGGGGAGGCTTCCCTTTGGAGTGTGGTGGGGCGGGGGCTCTCTGCCTGTGGGCCCGAGGCAAGGGTGTGAGTGTGTGGCAGAGAGTAAGTTGTTGAGTGTAGCGCTGCGGGAGGTGTATAAGGGTGGGGACGTTTTGTAGGGGTCTGAGCAAAGGGTGCTGGGCAGGAGGTGAGGGTGTTAACGTGGCGGTTGGGATGTGGGGGTTGTCCAGGGGGTTTGGGAGTGGGACGCGGGGCGTCAGAGGCTAGGGTGTCCGCGCAGGGTCTCCCTAAGTGAGGGAGATGGGGAGGGACTCCGCGGGCTCCAGGAGGGGCGGGGGTCGAGCAGGGCGGGGCCGCGCGCGGGCTTGGGGCGGGGCCTTGGAGGGGCTCCGCTGGGGTCGCAGGGGCGGGGCCT